ACTCCCTCCTCCTCTGGATGTTCCCTAACCCCGCCCCGTAGTGTCTCCTCAGAAGCCCCTGGTACTGCCGCCGAGCCCTGTGTCGCCGGTACGCGCACTGCAGGCGTCGCGCGCACCGCTGGCGCCACGCCACCGCCCCTGCTTCACGAACGAGGAGGAGGACGAAACGCCCAAAGGGTTGGTTATTGCCTGTCTGCGCGGGCCGGGAGATTCACATTGTAGGTTTAGTCGGCCGGTCCGAACACCATATGATGGGCGTTCAGGCCTGGTGATTCCCTCCATTGCCGGTATAGTATCTCTCGGTCTTTGCTTTCTCTGGGGGAAAGAGCGCCGATCGGTGTCTGTGGTCGGCCAACACAGAACGATCCTTCTGCGGTATGTCGCTTGTTTTCAAAACGCCAAGACTGTTCTACCATGCGCAGCAAGTTGACCACTGCTGTCAAGCCATAGATCCGCCGAACGTTCCGTCGTTCCCAACAATTCACGTCATCGAAGTGGAATGTAAATTTGCAGCAAAGCTATCTGCATGCCTCTGCCGGTACCGGGTGTATTTCGGCGGTGTCCACTTAACTCCGCACCGGTGACCGCATCTTGCTCGGAAGCTTGCTGTACGTGAACGAACGTTCTACCCCTTGTTTTTACCCAATGTACCTTGAAACAAGAACTACCTTTTCACACTATACATGTTTTCCAACAGCGATCCTCCACTCACTGTAGCCGGTAGCCTTTTTCTTGAGTTGGGAGGGCGAGCGGGTGGGCTGGGCGAACGGGAAGAGGTCATGCGGGAACTATCGTGTGTTATAGAGTCAGGGCCAATGAAGGGAAGGCGGGCACAATCTGAGCAGGAACCTTGGCACACCTTGTCGTGTCGCTTTCTTCTGGTAGTCGACCTTTCGGCAGAGGGGGCAGCTCCTCTCCTGCGCTCGGAGAAACTTCTCGAACGACGACAGGCACCTGTGTCACAGAAAAATAGTGCCACCTACGGTTAGTCTTAGCCTCGATTGTGAACGGCGCGTGGGACAGGGGGCGAACGGATAAGAACCCCTCCGGGTAAAGGGGTAAGTGGATGGAGGCGACACATATGCGGTCATCTTTCCTTCCATTTCCTCGTGGAAGACGTGTGACTGTTGATGTTTGGGTGTTTCCCTCGCCAACACGCGATTACTTTGTGAGGGGAATACTTGCAGCACTAGAGGGTGTACGAATGTTTTGCATGCGTTAGTTATCAGACCATCTGGCCACGCGGCCTCGGCAGGACGCAGCATCTTTCCCACAGGACCTATCCCTGATGGCCAATCGATCGGGGGGGGGGGGG